AGAAGGGGACGCAAGTAGAAGCAGCAGAGCTTACCAACCATGATATTCACGCGGTGCAGGACGCACAATGCTCGAACCACGGGTTGCTCTTGCTGCCGCTTGTCCCAAAATTATTGCCATTTAGGGTAACAGCCCCGGCCCCTTCATCACAGCGCTTGAAGCTCTTATCAAACTATGATCAGACACAGCCGGTCCACCACCTTGCACCATCCCCATCGTATAATCGCTAACTATATACTGAGCGCAGTCGAATGTTACAACCATCGGACTCCCAAAAATTCAGCTCGTGCTATCGAGTGTTGACGATATCAGAGCTGGCCCAACGTATCTGCGACTTCTCAAACAGGGGCACCTGGGTCAACTTGCTTTACCTCTCTCGTCGCACTTTTGCATGTATAGCGCCAATCGTATGGAAGGATGTTAATCTCAAGCCGATACTCTTGCTTATCCCAGAGGTAGAGTTTTCTGAGATCGACGCAAACCAGCGAGGTCTTGACAAGGCGGAGTGTGTAAGTATACCCTAACCCTAGTCGTCATCTTCATTCACGAGCTTTGTAGGGCTTCTCATTCCCTAGAACATTCGATCTTACACGATTCAAGCTGTATGCGGACTTTGTCAGGGTCGCGAGAGTGCACGTACCCCACAGACTCTACTTTTGCGGTCAAGACTTAGGTGCTGCGCTGCAAAGGCCACCATTGCCAAATTTACGGCGCCTGATCCTCAACACATATGGCCCGGCGAATATTCTCGCTTTCAGTTGGGTGTCCGGCCTCTTGACGCCTTCCCTGCTAGGGCTCGAGTTTCAATCGATCCATCTCAAAGAGAGTGGCGGGGAAGACACACGCCTATCACATTCTTGGATAGAGCTCGAGGGATACTTCGAGCTAATTGGCCAGATGTCTCGCAAGTGTCCTCATCTCGAGACTCTACGCATATTTCCAGGTGTACCTAGTAGCTGGCGCATAGCAGTCAACGGCACAAAATACAACGGAATAACTAGCTTGAAGCATCTTCGTACATTGGCGCTCGGCGTAATCGAAATCGACCAGGAACTCTTCCTTGCACTGGTTCAGCTGCCTTGCCTGGAGACTCTCTCGTTACATACCGACGTCTCATGGCCGATGAAAACCAAAAATGATCGCATAGACATACCTGACGACTCTTTCCTCACCCTCCGACATCTGGCACTCTATGGTCTGAGCGATTCCAGTATACAGGTTATATGCACCCTGCCTTCTCTCTTCCGGCATCTGGTTAAGGCTAGCTTTATTTTCCCGGGGTATAGCTCTCTCAAGATATCTAAACAACGCGATTTCTCTCTTATGATCGTCCAATGCCTTGAGCGAAGCCCACATCTCGCTGACCTGACCGTATTATCTTCCCGAGACAATTCGTGTCTATCTCTTTACCCCCCAGTCGTCCTGGACATTCTTAGGCACCTACCCCTCCGACGCCTGAGGCTAGACAGGGCCCGGCTCAGGTCCTGGGGCGATGCTGACCAACTCGACAACGACGACCGGAGCGTGGATGAAGATACTGGTCATGTGGAGATCCAATGGCGCGACTTTTTTGTCGCTGTGCCGCACCTTGAAGAACTCCACCTTGACCTCCAACCCATCATGTCATATCATCTCCCTATATTTGCGTCCGCCCTTCCGAATGTCAAGTTGCTCACGTTGATGGGCGTAGTGCTCGAGGAGGAGGAGGAGATCTCTGCCGACCGAGCTGCAACGCAGCCGATCACTATCCGGTGCCCATTTTATCTTGATGACCAGGATCAAGACGAAATGACCGACCCGTCCAGAGTGACGAGGTATGTTTTTCACCATCTTAGGGAGATAGTCCAGTGACCGAGGCAATGCGCAGGTATATGTACAGCATTTGGCCAAACGCACGACTTGAAATAAAGGAATCGCTGTCGTGGGTGCACGGCGAGCCTCCGGACGAAGTGATCGAGATAGTAGCTAGGTTCAGCGAAGCTATTGAGCACTTGAGGCCGGGTAGCAACTAGTATATAACTGCTGGAACTAGACATTTCAGTTCCTTGCTCGTCTGTGTTGTTAAACTCGGTATGAACAAAGATAAATTACTGTAATTGCTCTTGGGTTGCTTGTTAGCCCCCGGATGAGTCGAATTCTATGCGCCTTTGGCTGAGCGCCCCCTCACGGAATGCCCGACCGACTTTGGATTACTTAGGCTCAGAAAGTAAGTTCTCCGGTATTCAACGTTACCTGCCATCAATATTTCTAAGAGATGTCTCGCTATATGCGGTAAGCATTAGGTTTCAGCCTCACCGAAATTGGAGATAACCCCGCACCTCCACC